AAACCACCCTCCCTCCAGCCTCGTCGGACGACGGGCCGAGAAGGCCGAGACCATCCTCCTAACGGCGAAAACAAAACAACGCGAAACGGTCCCGAGAACGACATCCCTCTTGGCCGCTCGCTCTCGCAGCAGCGCTACGCTCGCCCGCTGGAACCCGGAATACCATACGGGGAACGCCCGTGTAATTGAGTCTTTTTACGGGGTCCATTTTCCCGCAGGGTACTAAAGGGGTTGGCCTACTCGCTTCATATGTTTACGACATATTACGCTGACCGCATGGAAGCGCGCGCCGTAAAAGCCACTTTACGGCTGCGGAATCAAACGGCGACGCGGCGTTGTCATGGCGACGCGGCGGCCCCGTCTCCATGGCAACGCGGAGGGGGGGGGGGGGGCTCAACAGGTCCACGTGTGCGCGCACGTGTGCATTAAACACACGCCCGTGCCGTGAGCTGTAATTCCTCGTGAAAAATGGTGTCGTCCAGGTAACGTGACGTGGCCCCGACCAGAAATAAATCATCGCAGCAGAGGGCAGCGGCGGCAGGAGGCGCGGGCGGGCCGGGCGGGCGAGGCGTCGTGGCCTTACACGGCGCGAAATTGTGGCAAGAGTCAAGGTGTCATTCGCACGGGGGAGGAAAATGTTTATAGCAGACACTGCATCTTACAGCCAGACCTCTGTGCTTTTTATGACGACCTATTCTTTTTAGGACGAACCTTTAGGAGGTCAAAACGCTTATCTGAGAAAATCATGGGTGCAAATCAGGGGTGCATATAAGGTGACCCGGTTAACCTGGTTAAATAATTTCGACGGTTATCATGTCAAAGACTTCACTTACCTACCACGACTCACCAATTCACAAATGGACGTGCCGTTCAGTTGTAGTGCGACCGCTATTCCTGGTGGCCTCATCTGCGTTCTTCTGTTTGGTCAAGTGTCTCTCGTGAGATACGGCTCGCTCTCGCCGGGTAAAAAGCGCACGCGTTTTTTTTTTTGTTCTTGTTGCGAAATAGGGAAAGCTAGCTCGCCGCCGTGGCGCGGGGGCCAAGGAAAGTACAGCCATTTTCTATCCCTCGCAGATCAGGGAGTGGCGATTGTAACCGCGCCCACCAAAAAAAATATAAAAAAAATGGGAGAATACAGCGAGGAGAAAATTGCGGGCCGCCTGTGAGTGCTGCTGGCTGGCCATCAGAGTCCACTCACTCCGCCTGCTGATTACTTCGCTATCGCCGCCGCATCTTTCGCCGTGATGGAGTCAAATTTAAATTCCATTTTGCTCCCGCCGCCGCCGCCCTTTCCCCGCTTATAGTCGCCTTTCCATCGCCGGCCGTAATGCAAGACGACGCTCATCTTGCAGAAAAGTCTGCGTGTTTATCCCGCCGTACGATCTCTGCGGCGTCGTGCCGGGGCGTGTCCCCCTCCACCCCCCGGTCCTGATAGCGGGCCGACGCACGCGAGCCACAAGTGTATTGATATACGGCACTCTAAAACGCGCGCCACCGGCTGCGCGAATTCGTCGACCCTCCCTCGCGTGCACGCGCTCCACGCGCCAACTGTGTGCGCTTGGCGCGCGCGGGCGTTGTGCGTCACCGGCGTGTCGCGCCGAGTAGGGTGCTCGCGCGATCACGCTTTCACGAGTCTTAAAGGACCCTTAAAAAACTGAACAAAAAGAACACACCGAAAAAAACCCTGGAATGGTGGCGTTTTTCACACTGCCACATCAACACAGCGGCGCTGGCAGGGGCGAGGGTGTGTGAGCGGTATGGAGATTAGCGTGTTATTTACACCTCAGTCGCGTTGCTGTTTCGGGGCGCGCGTCGGCGCTGCTGCTGGCGCTGGCGGTGCCACCCTTGGGAGGGTAGCTTCCGGCGTGACGGGGCGTGGTGGGGCGGGGCGGGCGCACATAGGAGGGTGGCAACGCGTGGCGGGACGGCGGCGTGACAACGGCGGGCGCCAGAGAGGTCAGTGCCAGATTTTGTCGTCCCACACTCGTCCCTTACCCATTCCTTCCCCCCTCTCTCTTGGCTGCTTCCTCTCTGCTTGAGCCTTGACTTCCGTGTCTCCTGCCGCCCCTCTCCCCCACATCGCCCGCCAGTACAGTCCCCCTGGTTTCGGACCAACGATCCGTAGTTTACGAGAACAGTTCCTTCTCGTTTAGCCCACGCTGTTACTCCCTCCTTTATCTTCATTTCTTTGCTAGTCTCCCTCTCTCCTTTGCCCTCGTCCTGAAACCCTCCCGCTGCTCTCTGCCGCACCCTGCCCCTTGCCTCCCTTCCCCTGCCCTCTCTCTCCCATTGCATTATCACTCCCCCGATATTTTCGCCTCGGCCCAGAATTGGTACCGGCCAAGCAAGTACAAAATACTCGCTCTCCGCCAGCGGCTTAAAGGTCCTGGCACTGCAGTTTGTTACCCGCTGCCAAGCGCCCTGCCTGCCCCTCTCTCCTGCTGCCTGGCACGCACACCCTGGTCCAGGACGTGCCAAAGTTGGCTGCTGGGTGCGAGCAAAAGTCGCGGCGGAACGCGAAAATTGATTCGCACTTCAACGGCAAGAGCGGCCCGGCTGTGCTCGTACTCGTTGTCAGTTGTGCTCGACGGGCGTCGAGGGAGGGTGTGTGTCAAGGTCGGGAGGAGGTATGACCCGCTTGCCGTGGGAAGGTTAGTGGGCGGGGGTGGGCGGCCTACGAGGTAGCCTCCGAGGCAGCCCTGTCCTGCTGGCGTGGCCGGGCCCAGGGCCGGGCCGGTGCCTCCAGCGATGGCCCTCCAGAGGGCTGGACAAGCTCTTACCCCCTGCATTGGCCCACTGGGACGGGCGGCTCGAGGGCGGCTGCTGGAGGAGAGGACAGCGAGAGGGGGGAGGGGGCGCGCAGGGGGGCATGGCGG